GTGGGGAGGCTGGGTTTCTGCGGGGTGGGCCCGGACGGGTGCACCCACGTGTGGACCTCCGCGCAGCGCTCCTCCCACGGTGCTCCCCTGGGGGCACTGGGGGTGGGGAGAGGTGAGGGGCCGGGGGATGAATGGAAGGGCTGCGGCACGGGGCTTTAGCTGCGCAGTCGTCCCTCCCCGGGGCGGAGAGGGGGCGGCGGAGGCAGGCACTGCGGCTTCTGGGGCTCCGAAGAGGCACACGTGCGCGAGGACCTGTGTGTGGTGTTTGGAGGCGGGTGTGCATGTGTCACGTGGACACAGGAGTGTGCCTGTGTGTGTGAGGGGGTGTATTACAGGGTGGAGTGGCGTGTGAGGGCGGGTCACGCGGACGTCGGCGTGTGCTGGCCAGCGTATGTTTTGAAGAGTACAGGCGTGTGCAGAGAAGGTTAGGGATGGGGTGAGGTCCCAGGACTGCGACTCGTGGGTGCAGACAGGAAGTGCACCAACGCCAAGGGGGTCTCCAGAGTGTGGAAGGAGCACACCCCAATGTCCTTGGGAATTCCTGGGATGATGAGCCCACCTCCCCGTGGTTCATTCACTTCTTCACTCAACACCTAGAGATGGAGAGCCCACTGGAACCAGGCTGTATCCCAGGCCCACACACTTGGGACCCATGTCTCCCTCTGGGTCTCCCACCTGGTCTCTCCAGACCTGATCTTCCTGAGTCACTGTCCTGCTCAAAACCTGCCTCTGACTTTCCAGGCCTCCGTCTAGGACTCTCTGGGAGGTGCAAAGGTTGGAGGTTCAGGTCCATCTAGGTCCATGTTGGAAGAAAGGCCAGGTGATCTACTTCTGAAAAATCAGCATTAAAAGCTCCGAGGGGCACAGTGCCACTCGTGGGGCCACCATGAGTCTCAGGTGACTGGTACTGGTTGGCTCTCCCTATAAAGATCCTCTTTAGCCCCGAAGGGCAAACCCTGTGTCCCAACCCGAAAACCCCTCATTGCAATACAGTGTGAACTTCACTGCCCCTGCCCCTGCTGAAATCCTACTCAGTAGTCAAGAATGAGCTTAGATGACAGGGCCTTCTCTGGGTAGTCAACTCACGCACATAGGGCACCCCACTCCAGCCATGATCACCTCCTTGTTGTTCCTGAAACAGGGCAAGCGCCGCCCCACCTCAGGGCCTTTGCACTTTCTGGGTCCTCTGCTTGAGATGCTCCAGATGCTCTCAGCTCCGACAGGTTCCTGCTCAAATCTTGCTTCAGAAAGGCCTTCCCTGGTGACCACTGTGTATAATAAGTAGCATCCCCAGCACCTTGCTCGCTCATACACAGCCTTGTGTTTCTTTATAGCATGTGCCACTTGACACATCATGTATTTATTACGGCTTTCATGCCCCACTAGAAATTAGAGTGTCTGACGGCAGGGATTGGTCACTTTGAGTCACTACTTTAGCTCCCGACACTTGCACTGAACCAAAAAAACAAACTCACTGCTATCCACTTGATTCCAACTCATTGCAACCCTTGAGGGCAGGGTAGAACTGCCTCTGAGGGGTTTTGAGACTGTACCTCTGTACAGGAGTAGAAAGCCCTGTCTTTCTCCCATGGGGTAGCTAGTGGCTTTGAACTTAGGACCTTGTGGTTAGCAGCCTTATGCATAACCACTAACCACCAGAACCTGCCATATAGTCGTTGCTCAATGGATATTTACTTATTGTCGAGATTTGCATGCCAGGAGGCTCCGGTCTCTTGCTCCGCAGCCCCCATCCCCACCCCACCCCACCCCACCCACCCCACTCCAATGGCTAGTTCCTGGAAGACCAGGTCTGGGAGTACTGTGGCCTTATTTTGCATGTTGGGAACAGTTCCTCTAGCAACTGGGGTGCAGGGTGGCGTGGGGTGGCCTGGGAGTGTAAGCGTTAGCCTGGAGGCCGTGGAGAAGGTTAGAATCTGAACTTTTCAAGGGGTTCGACTGGGTGACCTCCCCGGAGTGGGATGGCAGGGAGGGCCTCCAGAGGAGGTGATGCTGAGCTGCCCCCAGGCAGGACAGGAAGCATCGCTTCTAGAAAGGCCTGGCAGCAGGACACAGTCTGCAGGATTCGGTGGAAGCTTCGAGCAGCAGGGTGGTGTGGCCAGAGTGGGGACTAAGTGCAAGATGAGGGTGCAAGGTCGGAGAGGAAGGAGATGAGGGTTACTAAGTACAAGATGCGGGTGCCATTTGGGAGGATGATGGTACCCATGTGTGTGCTTGGAAGGAGGGAGGAAGAATCACTGGGGTGCCAGCTGAACTGGGGCCCTTCAGGGTTTGAGCTGCCCAGGGACACCTGCGGCTGGCGGGAGAGTGGGTTGGAGCGGGATGTAAGGGCTCTGCTGTGTACATCCAGGCAGTTTCTAGAGGCAGACACATCGCAGCTCAGGCACCTCGGTCAGGCACCAACAAGCTGCCTATTCATGGCCAGGCTGAGTCAGACCCAGGCACAGAGCCCACCTTGGTGCTTGGGGGCTCCCTGGGGATGTTCGGGGGGCATCCTCACAGCAGGCATCCTCATGCATGACTTGACACTGGGCGCCGGGCCACCCTCAAGGAGACTGAGTCATCCCAGCGGGGGTGGGAAGCTGCGAGGGCATCCGTTGCCAGGCTGTCCAGACACTTCTGTCAGGAGCATAAACACGGCTGTGAGGCAGCCCAAGGGAGGCCAAGGCCACCGTCTGTGTCTGGCCTGGGTGGCCATCCTACCTCCTTGTGGCTCTCCTTGCTGCCCAGTCCTCATTAGTCTTGCCCTCTCTGCCTGGACTGTGGCTGGTCCCTGCCTTGGCTTGGCCCTGGCAGCCCCCTGGGACATGGAAGAAGGCCTGGCCGCTGCCTGGACTCCTCATTCCAGGCACTGCTGTTGGAAATGGGGTCTGCCTGCTCCATCCTGCTCGGGGTCTCTCCCCTGAGAGGCCCAGGAAGATGGGGCATGTCCTGACAAGAGGCCAGGCACCTGACACTTGGAGCTCCAGAGCCATGTGAAGTGGCCAGAGACAACCTGGGAGAGAAGCTGGGGCAGGAGCTTCTCCTGGGTGGAGGTGGAGGGGGCAAATGAATGCCTGGGCCCAAGACAGAAAGCAGATCAGGGGTTCTAGTCTGTACAGCAAGGCTGTGCCTCCAAGGCTTCTAGCTGCAGACACAGCCCAGCGCCACATCGCTCAGGCCCAAACTGCTTCTCTGTCCACCGAAGGTACTCCCTGGGGAGTCGTGTGGGATGGCGGTCAGTTGATGAGTCACCTGTGAAGACACACCCCAGCCCAGGAAGGCAGGTTGGGTAGCTCTCCCAAACAAGGGCAGGCTTGAGTCTCGGACAAAAACCATTTCCAACCGGCAGACTTCGTCTGGGTCCTTGGAGGTCCCCCATGGGACCCATAGAAGTCCCAGCTTTGGGTCTATTTTCCATTCATTCAGGTGGCCCCTAGTGACCTGCTGAGTTGATTTCTACAGAGCATCGCTGGAAGTTTTCAGCTCGTGGATGGGGTGTGTGTAGGGGGCAGCTAGAGAGACCCCTTGGGTAAGCCCCCAGAGAGGGCTAGCCCCTCTCTAGGAAGAACATCCCTTCCTTCCATCCTTAGCGGGCAGTCCAAGGCTGATAGGCAGGTCTAAGAAGTTCAGCCATGGCCGGGGGTAGATTTCCCTGACTTCCAAAGGGTGCAGATCCCGGCTATCAGCGTGCCCCTTCCGGATGTGCATATACACAAGGGCCCCAAAACATGCTCATGCACTCACACAGGTGACTCTGACAGGATCTCATTCCCATGTTGCTCTGCTCTCTGTCTGGGAGGGACCACCACTTCATAATGACACCCACGGAGAGACCCTCACCTCCCACACCCCAGGCCCACGCCCTCACAACACACAGTCTGTGTGCCAGGCCTTGTCGCCTGGACTCCCAGCCGGAATCTCGGGCCTCCCAGGCCACCGCCTTCGCCCGCTGCCGCGCCGCCGCCGCACCAACTGCTTAGTCACCTGAATTTGATCCAGGCGGGCGGGTGGCGGGGCGGACCTGACGTCAGCCCCCGCCGACGCTGCCTCCCTCCCACCCTCCCTCTCTCCTCCCGCCCGCCCGCGCATCCATCTGGGCGAAGTGTCCCAGGCGATCATAGAGAGCCAGCACAACAACTCACTTTGAGCGCGCCTCCTTCGCTGCAGGTCTGCCCTGAGCCTTTTGCGAGCGTCCACCCCTGACACGCGACCAGTGGGTGAGGACCACAATCAGCCCCCCTCTTCAGATAAGGACCACTCCAGGCGCTGCCTCGGAGGCGTCTGGCTGCAGACACATCCCAGGTGCACATCCCACTGGCACGTTCCGTGCCCTCAATCCCATCCGCGCCAGGTGTTGCCAGGAAGGGGTGGAGCCAGCATCGGAACCCTAGCTGCCCAGCTGAGAGCCTGGGTAGCAGGGCCCCAGACTGGAGTAGGAAGGCTCTGCCCTAGCTGGCTGTAAGCTTCCCCTCTGGGGGAAGAGAAACAAAGGAAGGTGGCCGTGGCCTCTTGCTGTGAGGAAACTCATATGCAGATTTCATGAGACAAGCTAGCCTGCGACCTTTGCCAGGGGTGGCTCCTTGTGCCTCAGCCCCAGCCTGCTGGGGCCTAAAGTCCAAAGGCAGGAACTTTTGACCTAAAGGTCATTCCCTAACTTGGTGTAGGGCTGGAGGCTTGCAGGCATTCTCGGGTTTTTTTTGAGCCTGCTCCCCATCAGGTGGATGTGGTTACTGTGGCAACCATCCATTCATTCAAAGACTGATTGGGGGCGGGAGCGGGGAGGACTCCTGCTATACACCCAAGGACAGTGGTGGGTCAGTAGCAGAATTCTTACCGTCCTGAACCAAAGACCTGGGCCCCTGCTCCGGCGGCACAGTGTCACCCCACTGTCTGTGGATGCTGCACTGTGGCTGCTGGGCTGAACAGATTTCCGTGGAGATTTCAGGCAAAGACAGGCTAGGAAGAAAGGCCTGGCGATCTATTTCCTATAATCAGCCAACAAAAACGCTACCAATCAGAGTGGCCTGGCCCCAAACTGGGCCAGGCGGGGGGCGGAGGGGCTGGCAGCGGTAGGGGACTGTAGGACCAGGTGGCATGCGGTTCATTTTGTTGCCACGAATTGCCGTGTCCAGTGGGGTCGTGATATGGAGTGGGAATCCATTTGGCTCTAAGCCTTAAGCACTTCACACCGTGGCTCGAGACCCCAGGTGATGTGAGGTCACCTGAGTGTGGGAATCCTGCAAAACATGGCAACGGCCCCAAAGCTTATGAAAGTGCCGCCCCCACCAATTCATTCAAAACCAAACGCGGAGTGCCCCCAAGGTGGCTCTGGCAGCTACGGCCTGTATTGCAAATGCCACAGCAAAAATGAGTTTTGGGTGGAAAATGGTGACGAAGCCTTCCCTAAGGCGGTGAGCATGGGAGAAAGAGACCAGCCAGACCTGGGGCTTGAGGAGTGACGACAGGGTGCTGCTGAGCCACCTGTGGGGAGGAGAGGATGGGGCGGGGGCAGGCTTGGAGGGCTCTGTGCTGCTGTCCTCTTAACCCCCCGGCTACTCATACCCCTTCCCACCTCCCTGATGCTCCCACTCAAACCCCCTCACTTCTCCAAGTCTGGTCTCCATTATTTTTCCCCTTGCCAGTCTGTCCCCCCCTCCTTCCTTACTGCATGTCAGGATCAGGCGTCCCTGGCCCAGCACTGCACCAGACATAGAGGGCCAGGACTACACCCTCACCCAGGGAGCGTCTGTGTCTGCAGGACAGATGGCAAGACGGAGGCTTAGAGTCAGGAAGGAGCTTGCCCAGGGTCCCACCGTGGGTTGACAGGCAGATCAGCCAGCCCCACCTCCTGACACCTGTCCAGGTGGCTCGGGGGAGAGGATGGCTAGGGCTGGGGCCTAGGCCTGAGACCCACGTTCTCAGAGTTGCAGTGTGGGGACAGAGGAAGTTCCCACCAGACAGGAAGGGCAGAGGGACAGGATCTGCACTGGCTTCCTTTTTCTGAGACACTGTCCAGTCTGACCCAGAGTGGGGGAGGGTTATCAGGCTGAAGGGGCCGATGCCTGGCTTGGGGCGGAGGTGGTGGTCTCAGGGGTCAGGGCTGAGGCTAAGGCCTGAGGTCAGTCCTTGGCTTGGGGCCAGGTGTGAGGCTCAGACTGCTGCAGGGTCTGGGTAAGGGTGGGGTGGGGCTGGAAGCATCCCAGTCTGAGCCCATAGGGGCAGCATGAGGTCTCACTTGACAGCCACCGCAGCACCAACCTCCTCCCCTAGCTGACTGTGTTCCAGGCTGCCTTGTGGCACTGGGAAAGGTTTCCCTGGGGGAGGTGAGAGGGTGTGAAAGAGGCTGGGGCATCTGGGAGACCTTCCTGGAGGAGGTGAGAGTGGGAGAGAGGCAGAAGTATCAGGGAGGCCTCCCAGGAGGAGGTGAGAGGGTAGAGTGGGGCTGGAGCATCAGGGAGACCTCACCATGCCTGTGCCCAGCCCAGCTTCCTCGGAACAGCATTGGGATCCAGGGGTGGGAATGGTGAGTCACTGTGCTGGGTGTAGGGCAAGGGCCTGGGTTGACCCTGGACTTTGTCCCTCCCCGTGTTGCTGGGCCTCCAATCTCTGCTTGTTTCTATCTGTCCTGGCTCGAAGTTGGGGATTTTCCCAGCTTCCCAGTAATGCAAGGTAGAACTGCCGGTGCCGGTTTTCTAGGTGGGGACCCCGAGTCCCGAGGGCTGCCCTGCCGCAGGGCCTGCTGCTCCTAGAATTGCTCCAGTCAGCAGGAGACAGAGCTGAGTCTGTGTTGCGGATTGAGTTATGCACCCCCCGCTGCCAAGTGATGTGCTGTGAACCCTCACCTCTAGGTCAAGTTAGAACCCCGTTTGGGAATAGCTTCTCTCTCTTCTGGCGGGTGAAGCAGGCTTAGTGCAGAGAGGGTGTCTCCTGAGTTAATCTCCTAGGAGATAGAAAGGAGATTAAACTAATGAGGAGAGAGAGCGAGAGAGGGTAAGATAGATGCCAAGACACGTGGGGAGCTCCAAGGATCCAGGAAGCAGAAACGGAAGAGACAGGAACGCTGCCCAGAGACACTGGAGAAGAAGAAGCCTTTTCCTTGACCCTCCGCTCTGAATTCAGACTTACAGCCTTGCGAACGATGAGCGTCAACGATTGATTTCAGTTTGTGAGAGCCACTTGTAGTGGTTCTGTGATAGCAGTCTTAGACAAAAAGTTTGGATGCTGGCATTTGGGCAAAGGCCTGGAGGTGGTCCCTATGCTTGTGGCAACAGGCAAGGGGGCTGGACTCTGATCTCTGGGCCTTGTGCCCAGCCTGGCATCCAAGTGCAGAGCCTTCTGTGCCTTCTTTCTCAGCTTTTGAACCAGCCCATGCAGCAGACCTCCTGCCGGAGCCATGGAGCAGGGCCCAGCTGTGTGCTGCCAGGACCCTCGGGCAGAGCTGGTGGACCAGGTGGCAGCTCTCGACATGGCCCACTTGGAGGACGTGGCAGGTGGTCCTGAGCCAGCCAGGAATGGGGTGGACCCTCCACCACGTGCCAGGGCTGCCTCTGTGATCCCCAGTGCGGCTTCAAGACCCCCTCTAGCCCGGCCCAGCCTCTCCGCTCGGAAGCTCTCCCTGCAAGAGCGGCCAGCGGGGCGCTGCCTCGAAGCCCAGGCTGGGCCTTACGCCACGGGGCCCTCCAGCCACATCTCCCCACGGGCTTGGCGGAGGCCCACCATCGAGTCTCACCGTGTGGCCATCTCGGACGCAGAGGTTGGTGGGCCTGCGCGAAGGGATTGCCCCTCAGCTGGCCTCCGTGCCACATCCCTGCCACCCAGCTGTGTAACCTTGGTTTGCACACACCCCACCCAGGGCTGGGGAGCTTACTCCCCAGGGCAGCTAACTCCTCCCATTCCCATCCTCACCCAGGCCTGGGACAGGAGCCCCTCACTTGTCCCATGCGGCGCTCTCGTGGCTTAGGAGGGTTACACGTGGGGCTGCTAGCAGCAAGGTCGGCAGTTTGAAACCACCAGCTGCCCTCAGGGAAGGCCCGAGAGAACAATGAGACTTTGGACTCCCAGGGAGTGGCTCAGCTCTGCCCTGTCGGGTCTCCGAGTCGGAATCGACTCACCGTCAGTACATTTGGCTCTTGATGTCTCATCCCCCTGAAGTTGTCTGAGAGATTTGAAGAGAAACATTGAGTCCCCTTGTCACCAGGCAGAGCCCGTCAACGTCAGTCTTGCCCCCTGACTCAGAAGCTGCCCTCAGGCAGCATGCTCCCAGCTCCTGGACATCCAGGCACCCAGCGGTCTGCAGAATTCAGACCCTGAGGTTTTTCATGCCGGATCGGGGGCTTCCAGCTCCTGTCCCTGGACTCTCCTTACCTTCCGGGCCATGCAGCCCCACCCTTCCCACTCAGCTGCTCCTGCAGATACTGGGGCCAGGTTCGCAGGTCTGGGACCAGTAGGAATCGGTGCATTTTTCTCAGCACTTCATTTGAGGGAGGGGGAGGGAGGAAGCAGGCATGGCCATACTCACTATTCATGTTTTCAAACATGATCCAAGGCTTCTCATCCCATGCAGGTAGGTGTCTAGGCACCACCAACTTTCCCCCTCCACACTTGAAAGGCTGATGAGGTCTGGGAACGAGGGTCTAGGATTGGGCTCGCCACACGTTCCTAGATCAAGCTGCACCTGACGCTGCCATTTTTTTCCTCCCAGGATTGTGTGCAGCTGAATCAGTACAAGTTGCAGAGTGAGATTGGCAAGGTAGGACTGGGGTAGGCCAGGGGAGCTTCATGGGGGTGGAGCATGTCAGGGGCCTCTGCTTTGTAATATCCCTTCTTTCTCGAGCTGGGAATGTGAGGTAGGACAACAATTTTGCTCCCTGTTGGAAGTCCTTGTGGTGGGGGAGAGGATGCCTCGACTTCTGATGCCCCCCGACTCCTGATGGGAGACAGGAGAGGTAGGGGAGATGCAGAGCTGCATCGAGCCAGGCAGGGACAGAAATTCTCCTCCACACCCCACACCCCCAGCCCATCTGCCAGAAACGTATGCCCTTGAACCAGCTGGTGGTTTGGATGGGGATGGGTGGACGGGGGTGGCGGGGCTGGAGCTGTTCAGGGGAGGTTGTCTTGTACAAGCAGGGCTGATGTGTTCCTGTCTGCAGGGTGCCTACGGCGTGGTAAGGCTGGCCTACAATGAGAGTGAAGACAGACATTATGTGAGTCCGGGCCCGGGCCTGGGAGGGAGGTGCTGCCCAACCAGGCCCTGGAAGCTGGGGGCTGAGGGTGGGGACAAAACTGTGCTGGGGGGAAAACACATGCTGGGAAGCAGAGGACAGGGCTTCTTCTGATGGGAGTGAGCTCCCTGTCCTTAGGGGTGTGCAAAGATCCCTTGGGCGCGGGGGTGGGGTGAGGCGGTGGGTTAGCAGTGGCTGGCATCCTGTGTAGGGAAAACTCCGGAAAGGCTTGTGGAGGGATTAGGGGGAGCCCTGGCCTCAGGTGTGGCCGTCTGTTACCCCAGTGAAATGCACACCCAGGCTGGGTTCCAGGGGCCCTGCTGGTGCTAGGGGTAAGTGTTGGCTGCAACCACAAGGTTGGGAGTTTAAAGCCACCAGTGGCTCCAAAGAGGAAAACTGAGGCTCTCTGCTTCTGCAAAGATTTACAGCCATGGGAACCTGCTATCGGGTCACTGTGAGTCTGAATCGAGCCGTTGGCCAACAGCAGACACCTGCTCATCTTTCTTCATGTAGCCGGCCTGGTCTAGTCCCAGGTGGCCGCACACAAATGACATTCATTTCTGTCCCTCCTCAGGCAATGAAAGTGCTTTCCAAAAAGAAGTTACTGAAGCAGTATGGCTTTCCACGTACGTCTCTGCCTGCTCCATCCACCCAGCGCAGTCCTTGGGCACGCCTAGCCCTGGGGGAGGGGAGAGAGGGCCAGAGCAAGAGGCAGCCTAGGTTCCAGCTCGGTGTTTGTTAGGACTGGGGGCTGAGGGGGGCAACATGGCAAAGGCCTGGTGGTGGGAATGTTCGTGGTTGGGGGTTAAGGATAAGAGTCTTGCTCGAGGCAGGTTGCAGGACCACCGTGAGGCCTGGCCTCCCAGAACAGTGGCTTGACTCCCGGTCCCGGTCACAGGTCGCCCTCCCCCAAGAGGGTCCCAGGCTGCCCCAGGGGGCCCGGCCAAGCAGCTGCTGCCCCTGGAGCGGGTGTACCAGGAGATTGCCATTCTGAAGAAGCTGGACCACGTGAATGTGGTCAAGCTGATTGAGGTAGGCTGGCTGCTGAGTGGGTGGGAGCCAGCGCCTCCTTCTGTGGGAGTGAGTTCCTTGTCCTTAGGGGTATGCAAGGAGCCCTTGGGCGGCTGGCTGGAGTTCTCTGTGGGGCTGGGGGTGGGTGGGGTGCTCGGCACAGACCAGGGGTCCTGCTCAGGGAGCAGATATGGGTGAAGCCTACAAGGACAGGGCCGGACTGGGAGTAGAGGCTGTAGGGAAGTTTCAGGGTCAGTGGCGGCTACCTCCCGGGATGTTCTTAAGGACTCATTGAGGACCAGGGGCTTCCCCAGAAGCAGGAAGGAAGCTCCCCATGAGGGCAGGAGAAGGGCGGACTCAGAGGACAGTCCATGCTTTCTGAAGTCCCATCTGTCTGATGCCGGGGCAGTTCGTGCTCATTGTCCAAGGTGGCTGCAAGCGCATCCTAGGGGTTCCAGGGCTGGCAGAGACACCCCGACTCCATGCCTCCTTGAGCCCCACCCCCATGTCGGCTCCTCTCTGACCAGGTCCTGGATGACCCAGCGGAGGACAATCTCTATTTGGGTGAGTGGCCCAGCACCTTCCCACAACAACGCAGTGTCCGGGGCTTCCCAGGATGCACTTGATCTCTAAGTGGGCAGGGTAAATGCACAACCTTCTAGGAGACAGATATAAAACACACACACACACACACACACACACCTTCTAGGAGACAGATATAACACACACACATACACACACACCTTCTATGAGACAGATAACACACACACACACACCTTCTATGAGACAGATAACACACACACACACAC